GATTGATTGATTGATTGATTGATTGATTGATTGATTGATTGATTGATTGATTGATTGATTTATAAACTGTTCCCTCTTCTATAATATCACCATTCACTGAGGTGAAGTCCACCGAGGTGAGTATAGTTCCTCCTCCATGACTGAACCACATACTTTTACTTTTCTTGGCATTTAAGGACAAATTTAAGTTAGAAAAGGCCTGTTGGATTTCAAGAAAGCCACATGTAAGGGACTTCATAACTAGTGTCATCGGCAAATAAATGAATGGAGGCCTCACTAACAGAATGTGAAATATCATTTATAAATATGGAGAAAAGAGTTGGACCAAGAATGGAGCCTTGGGATACACCTGGCATAACCAAAAGAAACTGGTCAACCTTCACTTGCTGCGACCTATTCGAAATATAATAACGGACCCATGTCAGTGGCTGTCCCAAAATTCTAATATGGTCAAGTTGCTTCAGTAAGATGGAAGATCAACTGAGTCAACAGCTTTTGCTAAATCAATGAATATTGCTGCACAGTACTGTTTGGAGACTAATGCAGATATGTCATTGAGAACTTTCAGAGTGGCTGTAATGCAACCATGCCCTGAATGAAAGCCAGATTGGGTGCTGGACAAAATACTAAAAACCTTCAAATAATGTGTTAGCTGCTTATTCACTAGTTTTTCCATAACCTTTGACACACAAGGTAATATAGATATAAGCCTATAACAGTTAACATCGGTCTGAATCTTCAACATCTTCAACTACAAAATAGAAGTCCAGTTGTTTTGTTTTATAACCTGTATTGGATTTCTTTAGATCGATCATTTCTGTTAATTCTGATGACAGCTCCTCCTTTCATGCAGGTATCTTGTGCAAGAGATCAAAAAAAGAGAAGGATTCCATTTAATAATGGAGGTAAGTTTTTCTGACTGATGATCTTAAACTTTTGTGTGGCTCATTTCACTAAATGTTTGAAAAGTTCATCATTTCTGTTGCTGTGTCCACATTTAATTACTTCTTTTTTCACCTACAGCCTGAATTTGCAAATGTTTGCTTCTGGTACATTCCACCCAGTTTGAGGAACATTCCACATGGTCCTGAGCTTCAGAAGAAGCTGCACACTGTAAGAAATGTGTTAAATATGTTGAATGAAGACTATTTTAACTTTAGTATCCTCAGTTTTTCCTCGTTTTTAAATACTATTAAAGGAACAGTAAATAATTTTTTGTTAGTTTTTGATATAGAATAAAATACAGTTCAAAATGACCACTGCTGTTTTAAAGACAATGTGAACCATAAGAGGTTTTCATCAATACAACTCACCACAGTGTTCCTCCTAATCCTGTAGGTGGCGCCAGTGGTGAAGGAGCGCATGATGAAGAGGGGAAGTATGATGATTGGTTACCAGGCACATGGTGACAAAGCCAACTTCTTCAGGATGGTGGTCATCAGCCCCCAGGTCAAAAGGCAGGACTTGGACTTTGTCCTGGATGAGATACATAACCTGGGAAAGGACCTGTGATGATGTGTCCATGAAGAACTTTCCATCATCTGCCAAACATAGCATCATAAAAATAAACCTCTAACAACAGAGAAATAATTATAAATGCTGCAGTTGTTCTATCAAAGCCTTTAGAGCTGCATTTAATGATCTAAACAGGGATTATAATGACTGTTCTATTGTTTTTGTCTAGAAAATAAACTAAAGATGAATAAGAATAAATCCAAACCTTTTTAACAAACATGAACTACAATAAACTGTTTATACTTAATATAGTTATTATCTTAAAAACCTCATGTCTTCTAGCATTTGAATTTATCAATTATTTTGGACGCTAACAGAGTTATCCATCCATCCATTTTCTCTTTATTATTGATTGTTTGATTGAGGATTTTGAGGGAACCCCAGACTTCCCTCTCATCAGTGACACTCTTCAGCTCCTCCTGGGGAATCCTCCAGGCCAGAGAAGAGACCTAACGTCATCCCAGTGCAACATATGGGCCAAGATGGGGTAGAGGTAGGGCAGCCGACCCGGGACCCGAAAGTCCCAGGCTCAAACCCCAGCCATTACCACATGTCGTTGTGTCTCTGAGCAAGACACCCAATCCCCCATTGCTCCCCAGGTGCCTATAACTGCCCACTGCTCCACCTGGGTGCATCCCAGGTGTGATGGGTTAAATTCAGAGAACTAAGTTCATCATTGTATAGAAACATACAACGATGACAACATAGCACTTTATAACTGGGAAAATCTCAAGAGGGAGGCTTCGTCTTTCGGATCAGCTCTTTCCTCACTACAGCAGCCTGGAGCATCACCCTCATTACTAAGACGAGGTTCTGATCTATCGAGCCATCTCCCGCTCCATCCTTTTATTGCGCATGATGAACAAGTCTCACTCTCAGCCTGAGGCAAAGTCTCACCCCCAAAACATGGCGTCAGTCTTAGAGGAGCTGACTTTCATCTCAGCTACTTCAAACTGGGTTCAAACATCTTGTATTTGGGACTGTTTTCACTGCATCCCACTGTCATGTGTAATTGGTTCATGTGGTTTGGGATTTTCTCAATTTTGTCAGTGCAACGATTGAACAAAACCACCATGTACTGTACACCGTCACATGGCATCAAGGTCAAACAGTTTAAAGCTGCTGTAGCTCTTTCTTGGATTCCTGCCATCGCCTGCCAACGTGTCACATCTTTGCCTTGTTCCGGTTTAGTTTTGGTTTCTTATGGCCGAAGGAAATGTGTGGCTCTGTGGCGCTACAATTCTCCACTGGGGTTGTCTTTGACTGTATGCTGCTGGATCCTGTCCAGGTGATCTATAAGAGATCTAGGAGACAATAAAGAGGGCAATGAGATCAAATTAGAACAATTAATTTGCAGCAAAGCTAAATAATGCAGAGCTAATGTTTTGAACCCAATGTTTTCATACTTTACTTCCACAGAGCCAAGCTTTCTTAGTTTAAACGTTTTTGACCTTTTTTTTTCTAAAGGTCTTTTTCTTTAAACTTTTACCTTTTCACTCGTTTTTAATCCAGTCAGACAACAATATCCTTCTGTGCAGTGTGGGCTGAAATAAAGTCGTCAGGTACAAAATGAAAGAAAAGTCATAGTGTTAAAAAAAAAACTGCAGATGAACAGTATTTAAAAGTAATGGGAGGTTAAAAAATGCTGTGAAAACCTGACACAGGACATAAAATATGCCATTCTTCATCTGCTCATCCACTGTAAACAGGACATCATCCAGTCACATTTGTTGCATCTCAAACTGGTCCTAAACGCCAATAAAACCAAAGGGATGTTGTTTTCTAACAGGAAGTCGGTCCCAGCAGTTCTTCCTTTGATTTCATCCTCAAATGGTGTCCTTATTGAATTTATTGATTCCTATAAATATTTGGGTATCTTGGTCGACTCACATTTTTCTTTTAAGCTGATTGATTACAGTGACATGATATACATGAGCGCTCCTACAAGAACCCTGCAGATGTTGAATGCTGTCTATCATGGTGCACTAAGATTCATAACTGGCTGTAACTACCGTACCCACCACTGCACCCAGTATTAACTGGTTAACTGGACATCATTAACTTCACGCAGACTCTCTCACTCGTACATTTTCATCTTTAAATCACTTCTTGGTCTGTTGCCTTCATACATCTCCTCCTACATGTCTCTGCGTGAGTGCAGCTACAGCGTGCGCTCTCAGGACATTATTACCTGCAGTGTTCCCTCAGTGAGGACTGAACTAGGCAAAAGGACCTTCTCCTACTCTGCTCCAGTTTCCTGGAATATCCTACAAAAATGTCATTAACCAGAGGCCGGATCGCAAACAACAACAACAACCACTGAGAGGGTTAAAAGATTTATTGTGAAATAAAGTAAAACTCTGGAGTAGGTCCGGTTCTGGGCTGGTTCTGATCTTCTGATTGGTAGTTCGTGATTGGGTAGTGTTGTAGTGGCGGGCTGCCAGTAGAAGTAGAACTGATGTTAAGGTCCACTGGAACGGAGTCCAACAGGCTTGCAACTAAAAGA